TCAATTCCAGAAACGAATGTAGAAGGTTGAATAGTAATTATACGTGGCTGTTGGATAGGCTTTAGAAGAATGGGGAAGAGAGGGCGCATGAAGAATTTCTGAGTAAGCAGAGAATTAAATAGTTTTTAATCTGGTCAGGGCTCTTATACTTGAATTTAATATCGCATACATACAATATGCATTAACATATCATTCAGTATCCTTCAACATAAAGAGCAAATTTGTACGAGGAAATAATTGTGGCCACATCCACTTCTTTTTCATGGTGCAACTTCATATATCTGAAATCATGAATTAGCCAATCAAATCACGGAATACTTTATAAAGATCACAAAATGAGGTATAAGAAGTGAGTTGGATTGCAACCAGCCACATTATTTGTCGTTTTAATATATATATATATATATACACAGTCCTTAATGAACTCTAGTTTATCACTCTCGCGATGTCTGTAACATGTCAGAAAAAAGCTTCCCTCTTGGCATAGTTAAATTAAATTCAGTGACGTCATGAGGCATACAGCTACTATCTTTCAGGAGAGTGTTATTTGCATTTATTACATTTATCTATTAGCGCTATATTGCCTGTATGAAGATATGGATATTTTTTAATCTTTTTTATTTCTCCGCCCATATAATTTCTTGCATCCGTTTACTCCTTAAATGCATTCATTTTCCGCGATCCTTCGCGGATTCTATTCGTACGCCTTAGCTCGCGGCTTGCCGGTGCGCTTGTGTAGGAGAGAGATTCTTTGTGCATTGGATTATCTAAAATTTACATATTTCCTTCAGGCTTCTCTTCTCCTATTCGAGTATTTCGTCTCTTCACCGAATTGTGTTCGGCCGGTACACTTGCAGATCTGGCTCCACTTCGCCCTTCGGAGGGTCTAGTTCGCCAATTCACACACGACCTCGTCCAAGCCCTGATTTACCTCCATGAGAGAGTAAGCCTATTGCTATTCTTTCCACAGAGCGTCACGGCGCATGCTATCTTAGGACATGCTTTGTTTATAGATACAGTTTGATAGGGCGTACTAGTCTGAAGAAAAAATGTCAAAATGTGATTGAATAGGTATTTATTGAAGCAACTTAATAGTTATTCCGTTTATTTATATATTTTTATAAATAGACACACTAAAGTAAGTACACAGTTTCCTACGCATCCTTGCAGAAATCCCCATCAGGAAAAGGTACCAGATGGCCGATCTACATTAATGATACTAACTCCAAGCATAGCTGCTCCTGACGAGGAAGTCAAATGCGGCACTATCCAAAAATAAGAATGCTCGATTATGGAGGAGGCAATATTGGCACCGACCGTGACAATGTTAAGGGTTGTAAATGCTGCCTAATGGAAGCAGGGCCAAGAAGGGAATAGTATAAAGATGAGATAGAGGCCATAATGAATGCAAATAAGGATTAGAGAATAAAAGCATATACAGTAAATAATTCATTTTTTGAAAGGCAAAGCCTGGAAAAGGGTTTCAAGTGTGGATTCTTAAATTAACTCTCAATTGACGTTTCAGAGTAGTCATGCTGCCAGAGGTCCGGTGACGAATGACGAGCAAGTGTTCAGGATGGGACAAGTGGTGCCCACTTGAAAATATGAAGCTAGGTCAAGTGAAATGTCAAAAAACATACCACTATACATACATACCACTGCACTGGACTTAGCTTCATATTTTCAAGTAGGCGCCACTTGTCTCATCCTGAACAACTGCCCCCATTTGTAACCGGACCTCTGGTAGCATGACTACTCTGAATCATC